TTCTCACACCCCTGTTCCCCGGCTGAAACCCGGAGTCTGGGGCCTGAGGGAAGAGCGAGCCGCCTGGTCTGTGGTCTTGGCGGGGCTGTCACTTCTGCTCTCCTCAAAGAAGGACGAAGGACGAAGTGGCTGGGTGAATTAGTTTGGGGGGATTTGGCCTCTGGTTGGCCTTCGCGGGGCATGTGGGCCTCGATCCTGGGGAGCTTTTGCTTGGGGTGGTCTGATCTGGGTGCGGGGTGGGGGGCCGGGCTCGAAGCAGGAATATGATGGGCTGGTGTGGCGGTGTCGCCGCTACACCAGCATCTCCAGCATCTACAAACAAGGGTGTTGATGGCAGCAGCATATCTGATATTTCTCTCCAGGATGGAGTCACAGCAAAACATCATGGAGCTTGGCCATTTAAGGCTTTATATGTGAGAAGGAGGATTTTAAATTCTATTCTGGATTTAACAATAAGCCAATAAAGAGACGCTATGATAGGAGAGACATGATCTCTCTTTTTAATTTCTTCCTGATAGCAAAGAGATACAATAGTCCAGCCTTGAAGTAACAAATGCACGGACTAGTTTCTCAGCATCACCCCTGGACAGGAGATTTCTCATTTTTGCAATATTCTTCAGATGAAAGAAGGAAATTCTAGAAACCTCTTTGATATGGAATTTAAATGACAGGTCCTGATCAAAAACAACACCAAGATTTTTTACTTTATTATCTGAAATCAGTTTAATCCCATCCAAATGAAGTGACTGACTAATCAGCCTATTTTTCAAAGACTCTAGTCCAAAGACTATAACTTCTGTTTTGTCTGCATTCAGAAGGAGAAAGTTAAGAGTCATCTAGGTTTTTATGTCTTCAAGACATGCCTGTAATTTATGTAATGGTTTAGCTTCATCTGGGTTTATAGACCGATATAGCTGGGTATCATCAGCATAACAGTGAAAATTCATCCCATGCTGTCTAATAATTCTACCAATTGGGAGCATATATAATGGAAAGAGAATTGGTCCTAGCACTGATCCCTGTGCTACTCCTCAGGTAAGCTTTGAGCATGTGGAAGATTTGTCATTAACATGAACAAACTGAAATCGATCAGAAAGATAAGATTTAAACCAGTCTAGTGCTGTTCCTTTGATTCCAACAAAATATTCAAGTCTTTCTAAAAGAATATTATGATCAACTGTATCAAATGCAGCACTGAGACCAAACAAGAGGAGCACAGATAAAAGTCCATTATCTGAGGCCATGAGAATATCATTAGCAACCTTCACCAGAGCTGACAAACAGAGAGAACTCTGTTAAAGTAATCCTGAAGGTTATAAGAAAGTGGTCAGAGAGGACAGGGTTGTGAGGAAATACTGTTATTTCTTCACATTCTATGCCGTATGTCAGCCCAAGATCCAAAGTATGAAGATGAGAATGTGTGGTACTACTCACATTTTGAACAAAGCCAATAGTGTCTAAGATAGCATTAAAGGCTGCTCTTAAGCTATCGCCTTCAATGTCAGCATGGATGTTAAAATCTCCCTCTATGATGACCCTGTCAGTAAGGACCTTGTGGACAATACAAAGTTACAAAAAGAAGAGGTTTTCTTGCTTTGCAAATTGGATGAGGGAAATTAAGGGTTATTTATGTTGCAAAGCTCACTATTTGAAAGAAAGAACAACTTAGAGAATAATTATATTTTGTGTTGTCTCGCCTTTTCACATCATTCAACATTTCAGCTTAGAGAATGACAAACAGTATGATTTCAGTATTGAAGTAACATTTATTTCACCCAAGGAAAAGCACTACATATGAAGCTACCATTGTCCCATTTAGTAGTTTTCACAAACCCAAGGTGAGTCCTTCCTGCATTTGTGACAGGTATACTTTGTGCAGTGCACACAATGCTCAGTACTGTGGTTCCTGTTGCAGAGATGGCACACCTGGCCTGCTTATAATAACAATGAAAAAATCTAAAAAAATATATATATAGTTTAGCACATTTTCCCAAAGTAAGAGTTATAGTCTGAACTAGATGAGGTTATCTATGGTATGTCAGGGTCCGAAGCCTCGCTACCCCGACATACCATGTGACCACCTCTGAAAGAGGTTTAGGTCGCTTTAACCTTTTGCAGGCATTGAAACAGCCTCAGTAGTCGGTGAAGATGTGTGAGTTTCTAGGAGAGTTGTGGTCAGTTGCATAGATTTTGGATAGATTCTAAGAATAGATTGGTTGGAAAAACAACCAATCTAGTTGGTTAAAACTAGTTTTATTAGATGAAACAATCTGATGATCAAAATCTGAGCCAGCCACTGATTACAGTTCAGTGCGTAACGCCAAACTCACTCCTCCTCGGCCGAGCATCCCAGGGAGGTGATATGAAGTCCTTCCAAAACTACCCCTACAAGCGGCTCCGTGAGATCCAAACCCAGGTTAACAAGTTCTGGAAATTATAGTGCCAGCTCGCTGGCCCAAACCTGTTCATCAGGTCCAGGTGGCACACCACAGAGAGAAATGTGTCCATTGGTGATATTGTTTGGCTCTGTGATCAAAATGCCTTGCGAGGGCAGTTTAGACTTGGCCGTGTCATCACTGTAGCTCCTGACCCACAGGGCATGGTCAGAGATGCTGAAGTGCTTGTCACCCCAGGCAGCCTTGTCTCAGTCCAGCCTCCGCAACCAGCGGTCCACTCCTCATCTTCTGGTGACCGGAAAGAGACACCAAATGGTGTGATACTGCGCAGAGATGTTAGACGACATGTGGTTCTACTCCCTGTAGACGAGCAGTGACCTTAGCATTTAAGCTGTTCACTTTTTCAGTTTGCAACCTTTCTGTCCAAGTACAGAAAGCTTGAGTGGGAGGTGTTGCGGCGAACGCTCCCTTTGTTTACATCAGCTTTTTGAACGTGAGCACGTAGCTTACATGCGTGCAATCAATCAGTCAATCAAAAGAAGCTGAGACAAACTTCCTAGTTTGAGCAGAGGATCGCAGCATCAAATAAAAAGCCTGCCGTTCTACTCGGGCAGTGGAAGAAGCTGTGCAAAGTTTGTATTAAGGAAGAGAAGGACTGAACAGACAGCCGGTAAGCTTGCTTGATGAGGCATTGAGACGTATGGGAAATGTTTGCTTGTAGCGTTGTTAAGCTTATAAATACTCACACGGTGCATCATGAAAATGTTGGCTTGTAAGGCTACTTGGAGCTTGCTTTATTTAGTCGGAGAAATGCTGGTGTAACTTGTTTTCAGTGATTTGTTTGACGTGGTTGAAACGGTCCAAGTTAATGTGTTTGTGAAACTGTTGCACGGTGTGTGATTAAAATGGACTTTTTAGTATAAAAACGTAGTGCATTTTCATAAATATATTTAATGATACATTTTTCTGAACTGACTATTATAATGTGCAATATGGTAAATGTTTTGTCTGGTTTCGTTTTTTTTGTTAGGTTTTTCATCTGCTTAATTAATGTAATGTAAACAACACAAGAAGAAGAATAAAAAAGGAAAAGATGAAAAGGGAGTGGAGGCCTAGTGGTTAGGGCATAGGGCTTTAAATCCTGAGATTGTTAGTTTGATCCCCCACTCCCACAGACTGCCACTCTGGGTCCCTGAGCAAGACTCTTAACTCCACACTGCTCCCCAATGGCAGCTCACTGCTCCCCAAGGGGATGGGTTAAATGCAGAGAAGAAATTTCCCTCTGGGATTATTAGAGTATACATTGTTAGTTTGATACTCACATTAGACTTTTGAAAGTTGTGATAAAACGCAACAAGTATTTTGACTAATGTGACTCATTTGTATTGGTTTACCCTAGTACAAATATAGATTGGGTAAAACCACTGACAAATTATATTGGTTGGTTTTAGCAAAAGCTTGGTTGAACACATTACTTCCAACCCGTTTAAAACCAAAAAATGTGGAAAAACTGTTATCTTTGAATAAAATTAAAACTCTCATTTTCTCATTATTGGCCAATTTGCACAAACACTTTCACTGTCTGTTTGAGCTTATTTCACTAAAATGGCAGAAAAACAGTTTACCTTTAATTATTGTTCTCTAATAAGACATTTTACACACAAAAAAACTTCCAAAAGATTTTATTATCCAGACCAGTTAACAATTTAATACAAAAAAATACAAGAAAAACAGAAAAACAACTGCAAAAATTCACTGATTCTATTACTAACTGTAGTTCTGCAATCCACCAGTAGGTGGTGACATGTTCAGATTAAAGGAATAGTACACCCAAAACGTGATTAGCCTTCATTTTCTACTCACCCCCATGCTGAACAACACTCTGGAGTACTTTTTTGATATCTCAAATGCATCTGGAGATCT